TTCTTGCATTGAGGGAGTACTTGAGTGGAGGACCAATGTCAATCTGCTATCTTAATACTAAACCTGTGTACATAGACCTAATTCCCCATCCTCATTTATAAATATATTTACATATGTACATGCTTGCATTTAGACCTCTATAAATGGTCTTTGACTCCTAGCTCTTTCCTCTATTTCCTTTTACTTTCCTCTTGTTCCACTATCATGCTCAGCCTTCATTTTACCATAATTTTTAAGGGAGCAAAACTTTACTCTTGTTGTTTATCCTATCACTCTATTTATATATATATATATAAATTCATTACAGGGGCAGAATAGAAAATATTGAATTGATAATAACCTTAGTCGGATAATAAGCACCACCCTATGGCTACCCTGCTACCCAATCTCTATAGTGTACTCACTAGCTTTCTTATCTCTAATATTAGCAGATTGGTTTAGACTGATACTTATTTCTCTACTCAGTCATGGAGTAGCTATAGAAAGTGGAAGAAAGGATGAAGTCAAAGAGCTGCACAGAAAATTTCAGAGTAGCTTGAGAAGATAAAATCAACTATTACAATGAAATGTGCAAAGACCTAGAGTTTAGAAAATCAAAAGGGAAAACAGGCTCAGTATTTCTGAAACTGAAAGAACTGAAGAAAACAATTCAAGCCTCAAGTTTCAATATTGAAAGATTCTATCGACAAAATATTGAGTTATGCAGGAAGCATCAAAAGAAGATGGAAACCCCTGACTGCAGGAAGAGCAATGGGAACTTGTAGGATACAAACCTTTCGGACACAAATAGTGAGGGCCATACGGGTAAAAGTCCTGTTAAAGATAAGCAAGTTCTAGGATATGGAATCCTTAAAGAATAAGGGATTGGGCTGATGGATTATAACAGGTCCTGCTTGCTACTTAACAGAGATTTAGCTATCTACTCTGGGTTGGGATACCAGTTAGACTTGAAACTATTTGTATGGTCTTTCTCTTCTCTCCTTTTTATTTTTTTGGCATCTATCTATATAAGGAAGGCAGGATAAACAATCCCAAGGAGACAGCTATGGGGCCAATGGAAGAGGTGGGAGACGGAGCGTTGAGCCAATAATGACAGGGATAGAGGAAGACTAAGGGTTCTAAATTTGACGTGAGAG